ACCCTGACCAGGGCCCTGTAACCCTGACCAGGATAAATGATTGGAATTCTTTCAAATATTTCTCTTCAATAACTAAATTCATTACCATTACTTGTGTTATTTTATTTACTATGTATATTGTATACTCGGCACATCTGCAGGTCTTTGAGCAAGGCCCTTAGCCCCCAGCTCCCTGCCACTGGGAACATGATCACCTAGTCTAGGAGCTGCGCTAAGCCCCAGTGCAGTGCTTACACAGGGCGGTTCGTTCAGGTGTCTACTCCCAAGTGACCTACAGGAGGCGCTACAGGCACAATAAAATAAAGCTAAGAAAAATAAATAATTCAATCCACCACAACAACGGGCTTTTCTCTCTGCTGCGGTCTGGGAGGTAAAACTGCAGTCTGATGGGCAAAATGGAGAGACTCGGAATAAGTCTTAGGCTGCCTGAATGCTAAATGAGGACCCCTAACCGCTAACATGGCACTTTAATGCACTTTACATTATTCCTCACATCTCATTTTACATCTTCTTGATGTGCAATGCCCATCCCAGTCAGCATAGGCACAAGGCGAGAGGACACCCTTCGTGGCACACACACACAAACACACACACAACGTACAATTTTAGAGATGCCAGTTAGGTTAACCGCATACCTTTGCATAGCGGGAGGAAACCTGTGCAATTTGGAGAAAATATGCAAACTCCACACACAGGATGGAGGTGGGATTAGAATCCTTGACCCTGGGAATGTGAACCGTCATGCTGGCACAGAATTTAAGGTACTTACCAACTGTGACTCATGATTCATAATGGTAAAACAATTTCCCCTCCAGTACAGTAGGTAGCAGTATTACTCCAGATGATCCTCATGCTAGCTGTTCGCGAGAAGAAGAGTACGCGTGGCTGCGTGCTGCCATAGCACTCGGGGTCTCTGTGTCCGGGCGGTCGGAATATGGATGATGAGATCTCAGATAGCTGGGAAGATCCGGCAGAGGGAGGGGTAAGAGACAGGACTGTAGTGGGTACTCGCTATTTACAAACTCTCGGAGACTTAGGGAATACCCTGGGAAAGCATTTCAGCCATCGAGGCGCCCGTGCTGCATTAGACGTGGGGACGTAGCGAGGTGCGGCGCGAGGAAGTCGGCCGACACTTAAAGGGGAAGGACGGTGATTACTGCAGCGCGAGGAAGGCATTGTTCGTACAATTTTTACTTTAAAAGCGATACCTGAAGGTTTTGACAGTATTTAGCGAGTGATTCCTCAAGTAAAAGAATGTCGTGTGTGTATGTTCTTCGAAAAAAAAAACAATGAAGTGAAGCCGGTCTCAAACTCCTGTCTTGTGTAGCACATGGGCTACCGCGGCAAGGTTATCTAAATTTAACTTGGCTAACAGTCCTCCTTTCATTATCCCCGAAGTCGAAACCACTTTTTTCTCTCAACCAGCTTTATAAAGTTTATTGTTGTTGATATGATTTATTTGACCGCAGACTAATGAACGTAAGGCTTTTTTGTGTTAATTAGCAAGCGTTGGATACTTGGCATTCATATAGTGATACAGATGTACACCGAGGAGAAAGATGAAAGAAAAATATGTATTTAGTGTCTCTTGTTGTTCATTTAATTTTATCCTGGATAAAAAAAAAGTTATTTTTGGCTCATTGTACACGATATTTGGCTAGACACGCCCGACTAGGGAATCCCTACTGCAAAGCTTTCACTTAGTCCCCATCGTTTTCCCTACATTTTAAGAACATATATTGCAGGGTTAATTATTTTAATTTAATTTAAATTAATGACAAGTACAGCAACCCTAGCCATAAACACACTGCTCTGATGTGCTGAAACACAGTCCAGTCTGCGGTGTTCAAGCTCTGTGTGTGTGTAGTATGAGTATCTGTCTATCTATCTGTCTGTCTTTTATATCTATGATTTTGCTCGAAATTACATTATGCAATAGATAACCCACTAACCAAATCCTTTGCTAATCACTTAATTTTGTTACATTCTCTCTGTTTTGACTTTTTTGGATTTCTGGCAAAGCATGCCTGTTCACCTTTCCTCCTTTCCCCCGAATGCAGGAAATGCAGAGACGGGGGGAGAAATTGAGGATAAACCAAAAACATAGGTGGGTGTCACTAAGAATGATCTTAATTGCCGTCTGTCCAAAGTGATCCCAGGTATGTCTTGTCTGCGGATTATGTCTGTATATGTATAGACTGAGAAATAAATAGGGTGGAAATAAAGATGCCATGTAGTTTCACTTTGGAATATTTTGTTTGATTATTTTATGGGTTGTGACTACTGAAGTGCTGCATTAAGGTATAATGGTTGTAGGGTGGAGGAAATTGTTTAACACAGTGTCATTCTAGGGTCAAACCATGTCTTAGAATGGTTAACTGGTTTTTGTAGTACTGTTAGGTTTTGGTGCTTAGTCAACCCTTGTATAAGAGCAATTTTAACTAACCCAGTGACACTGTGATGAAATTTGCTCCAGCAGAATTTTGGACAGCGGTTCTGGCCACTGTCCCCTTAAGACCACAGCCATCGTGATCCAGGACGGCGCCCTGCCTGCAGCACCGCAGCCCCAGATCCGCATCTTGAAGCGACCTTCCAGCAATGGTTCGCTGCACCCCTCGGCCGGGCCCCCCCGACCTCTCCCTCAAGTGAAGTCCCTGGCGCAGAGGGAGGCAGAGTATGCAGAGGCCCGTCGGCGAATCCTGGGCAGTGCCAGCCCTGATGAGAGCCCTCAGGACAGCCCAAATGCAGTCAGGTAAAGACTAAAGACCTCAGCCCCACACTGGTATAAATAGCTGTCACATTAAACTGGATGTGAGTTTTTGTTTGTTGTTTTGGTAAAATCCACTTTCAAATTCAGTTTTCCATCTCATTGTGTATGTCGGACCTCTCTAATTAAAACTCACCGAGGAGTAACATTCTCATGGTCTCTTGGAGGTGACTACACACATTCTGTCACAGCCCAATCCTAGGCTGACCCGTTACACATACCACTCAGCCTGGGGGTGTCTGTGAGTTGTACAGTGGGAAGTATAGCTCGTCTGTATTTTCTCCAGGGAGAGAGCTCCTCACCTGAAGGGTATCGGGAGGTTTTCTGTCAGTGGACCTGTACTGATTACGTGGGGGTGGATTAACAGCTAACAGCTGTGAAAGCTCCAAATAATAATAGCATTTGCATAGTCATAACATCACTATGGTGTATGATCGTGTGACTGTTTGTGTGCCGTAATGGACGGCCATCAGTTCCAGGGAGTCCCCAGACTTGGACCCAGTGCTGCTTAGGATGGGCTCCGAGTGCCCCGAATCAGGACACAGTAGAACCTTGGAACTCCAATGCCTCTTAACTCGACCAACTCAAACAAGGGGTCTGTTGAATTGTGTTCGACGTCTACCTCGACCAAAATCTTGGAACTCGACTGTTCCTGCTAAAACTTTTAGGGGTCGAGACACATTTAACTCTATGAATTTGGACCTCGAATGGGTTAGTCAAGAAAAATCTAGCGGCAACTTGACTGAAAACTCGGAACAGAACAAAACAAAACAGACCTGTTAAAACTCGCATCTCTGATGGGCTGACAGAAAAGGCAAACGGACCTCCTGGGATGCTGATGTCTATGAATCGCTCTCAGTCTCACGGTACATCTGAGCCGATTTCGATGTGCAAAAGCTGTGTTCCTGTGTTCGCTGTGAATTTTTTTGTGCTTTATCTACAGTACATTTAGTGGTACAGTAATCATGACCCCTAAGAAAGTGAGCAGTGATAGCAGCAGACCAAAGGGGAAAGTAGTGAGAATAACTGTACAACTTATAGTGAAACTTGAAGGTGGTGCACGTGTGTCTGCTCTCGCTTCGGAGTATGAGAGTGTTGTTTATTTCATGTTTATTGCTTTTGTATGTGTGCTTTTTCATGTGTGTATTAGTTTTATATTGATTGTTAATGCTTTTTATCATTAGGTAGGTAGGTAGGTATGTTTAAATACGCAATCATTTGGGGGTCAGGAACGAATTAAACTCATTTACGTTATGTCTTATGTTGAAATTTGACTTGGACCTGGACCAAATTGCAATTCGAGCAACCTTCTGGAACGCATGGAATGGAACCTTGGAATGTTCCAAGGTCCCACTGTAATCTGTAGGATTGATTGTTATACTTAATTTTTTTCATGGATGCTTTGAACAATCCCATGAAGCCTTAAAATACAGAGAATCAGAAATAAATGGTTAATCACAGGCAAACGTTTAATTCTCATTTTATCACTGTGTAAAACAAAAGTTAAAATACTACAGTCTTCAGTTGATTACAGGATCCTCATACAGGTCGATCCTGGTGGTTTTGATGCAGAAGAAACATAATAGTTGGGAAGAGGTGTGATTTTAGAACAGCTAGTTTAAAATGTTTAGTAAGTCTGAGTCAGTGTCCCAATTTTTTCTTGTAAGTCGGGCCCTGTGTTCAGTTATCATTTTGTTGGAAAGCCATTTAATTGCTTTCCATGGCCTAACAACATCTTTGAAGGTTTGAAGAAAAACCTGACTTCTCTTTTGTTGACTGGAATGAGGCACTGAACACGTATTTCTGCACAGTTCTGTAACTTCTGTTTTGAGGTTCGGTCTGAATGTCCATAGATATTCTGCATAAATATTAAATATCAAAGTGGTGTTTTATCATTTATTGTGGTCCACATGTTTGCTCCTAACCCTGCCTGTAAATTTTCGTTGTGTAACTGAATTGGAGTGCACAGTAACGAATGAGCCATGCATTATGCCCCGTGCGATATGTGATGAGGATAATCACTGCCCCACTTAAGGAGCTGGTACTGTAAAAATAGAATCCTGGTTAATATTGTGTGGATGGTGCTGCAGTGGATTTTTTGTTTCCAAATATTTTGAGTGTAATGTGTCTTTTTTTTTATATGGACGGGTGAATGTAGCGACAAGCAGAGGCATGCAGGCTGTAGATGCATCCGTTAATTGGTGTGCACCAGTTGACTGTCGTCTTCCTCTCTCGCCCAGCAGGCCTGTAAGGATGAACACACCCCAGTTCCCAGAAGACTCCCGCCCCAACAATCTGGCTGTCCGCCAAGCTGTCAGCCCCGCGGGCACGCAGGGCCTTCGCCAGCGCAGATAGAACACACTGTCCCGCCCTGGGGGTGGGGGTGGGGGTGGGGGAGGGGGGGCATAAGCTGTAGGTCATCTAGGACAAGGAGGCTGCATATTTGGGGGCACGAGGGGACACAGTGTTTCCTCTCTGCCCTGGGTGAGGATGTCCCCCACTGCCCCCCCCCCCATGTGGGGAAAGTGGGAGTGATGGGGCCGCACAAGAGGAAACGGGACAATGGACATGCAGGCCATAGGCAATTTCTCCCTTCTTTCACCTGACTACATGCACTGTGATGTTGCTTCTGCGAGACACTGTTCACTGTGATCCCCCCCCCCCTCCCCCCCCCACGTCCCATGAATTGCTTCATTACCTTTGTGTCCACCTCACCTGCCTCAGCTGGCCCACTGTGACTGGCACTCGGTTTCTGGACAAGGCAAAGCGGCCTTTGAGGGCCAGGCGGCAGGCGGGGGGCTTAGGCCTTTGTAGTCGGCCTGGTTTGTGAGGCAGAACAGCTGCAACACCCTCTGAGGCTAAGAAGCAGACACTGGGATGACGAACTGTCAGCCATAGATGAAAAAAGGATGGAAAAGTTAGTCAGCCAGCATCTCGTAGCAATATTAAGTATAATAATAATTATGATCATCCCTTTTATATACTGTCCACATGGTTAAGTTTAATTGTCAGTGTTTTCTTTTAAATTTGGTTTAACAATAGTCTGATTTTATAATGATAACCAGGTGGGTTTAAAATGGGTGCGACGATCAGGTGAGTGTTGGATTTGTGTACAGTGTTGTTTACAGTTGTTTTTAAAAATTCTTTTTGTCTTCCTTAGGCTCAGATTTTCTATTTATACATTAAGATGAAACAGCAACTAGAATTAAACATAATCCACTGGTAGACTGAAGTAAAATTTAAAACAGCTTTTCTGTTTTTTTTTTATTTGATAGTCATTTTAATTGAAATCAACAGGAAAAGTTTTTTACAGAACAATTTGTACCAGTGTTTGAACTTGGCATGTGGTGCCTAGAACAATTCTAATAAATGGGTATTCTGTGCTTGTTTTTGCTAAAGTTTTTTCTGCAGCATATTTTGATAATTTTTCTTCCATGTCTTGCAGATGATGGAAAGAATCTCAGTTTTGTTTAACTAGCACATTCCTTAATTATTTCCTGTATGTCCTGGTTTTCCTGCTTCCACTAGTTTTAACTGCCTGCAAGGACATTCTGAAGCTGGCTGACAGCTTTGGTGATCTCTTTGGGAAAGGGGATGTGTTTAAGCCCGATCTCTTTGGGAAAGGGGATGTGTTTAAGCCCGATCTCGTTGGGAAAGGGGATGTGTTTAAGGCCGATTTCTTTGGGAAAGGGGATGTGTTTAAGCCCGATCTCTTTGGGAAAGGGGATGTGTTTAAGCCCGAAAACATGTATAAACAATCAATGTCAGGAAAATGTTTATATCTTTACAATTACTTTTTACCGTTTGCCTGATTTTTTAATATTAGGGTGGTGCCTTTAGTTATCTGCAAATAATCATATTCCCAGATGGGGAATAAAAATGGTTTTGGTTGATTGCAGAAGACACTTGACCTTGTGAATGTGATAAGTCAGAATATATTTGATGGATCTTATTACTGCTTCACAAAAACATTATTTGAATGAAGATTTATGTCTGATTTCAAGACAAGTCACATCAAAAATGAAGCAGCAGCGCTAGATGACAGCAAAGGAAAGGGTAGCTGTAGAAGATATTTGGTCTTATGAACACAGTAACTCTAAAAGTATTTGAAACAGCTGGGAATATTGGATAGGTGATGATTTGGAACCTATTTCATTTTGAGATAAGTTGCATCAAAACTGAAGCAGTGTCACTGCAAAAACATGAAAAGACAGCTACAGACACAGATCCGGTCACACAAAGTTGGGCTTTTTATAGATTTTTTTTTTTTTTTTGAGTTGTGTAGGGGGTTCGAGGTTGGAGGGTGTGGGAGGAGTAGGGATTAGACTGGGAGGAGTAGGGATTAGACTGGGAGAGGGATGACAGGCCATCTGGGGAATACATAGTTGCTATTCCGACTGCATCTAGTTTGAATAACTTGACTGATGTTTCAGGTATTTTATTGCACATTATATGGTGTAATAAAATTATTTGCCATGTGTTAAATTTAAAACCTTAAGCCCCTGAAGTACCTTACTGTCTGTTTGTTGGATGTCTTGCTGGAAGAGTCAACTAGGTAAAGCTAAACCTTGTGTGCTGCTATGGCAACCAAAACTTGACAGATTTTTGTTTTATTTAAAATGATGGTTTTCTGCTTCTCAGTGTTGAACCAGTCTGTCATCACAAACGTACACAAATTTGTAATAGATTTCACGATCTTCGAACTTTGTTTAAATATTTATTAAATGCTGGAAGCTCCACAATTGCTGTTTGGCTGCTGGAGAATTTTTTTAATAGATGGTCTGTCAGGAGGTATGCATGATTTGTGAATGTAGGGTGTATTTCCAAAGGACTTGTTGTAGCATTGTGTTTTTTTTTAAATAATTTGCTTAGGGGACTCCACAATATTGCTTTAAAATCTTCAAATTTAACCTTTATATTTCACCTCTTGTGAAACAGGTCAAATTTCATAATTTTGTTATACAAAATAAATAAGAATTTAAAAACACTTTGGTATTATTAGAAGATGTGTGTAGTTTTGCATCAAATATGTCTTTAAAAAAACACATTACTGCATGCAAGCTGGAAATCTGCTGCCTTTTTTCATCCTCTTCTCCTCCAGGAATGACAGATGAAGCACTGAGTGGCATTTTCTCTCGAAGACTAAAGCTAGTGATTGCCTTGTATCTGATATCTCAGAAAACAGATTGTGGAAATATAATTACATTTGTTTCTATTTCATTGTTTTGTTTGCATGCGTATGAAGTGTATTAACCCTCCCACTGGCCACAGGAATGTTATTCAAGAGGTTTGGCGATTCTGAGTTTTCCATAGCGTGAGCTTTGTGAATAAAATTGAAGAGCAGTTGATATTGACTTTATTTTTAAAACGTTGTATTTAAAATGATAGAAATGCCTGCGAATCTAATACTAAATAGAAAGAATTAATAGAATCCAGCTTCCAATCACTTATGCTTCTCAGGGTAACACGGGGCACAGGGTTGGGGTGCAGCCTGGTCCAGATGCCAGTTCATCGCAGGGCAAACACTCAGTCATACACTATGGGCATAAGTGCCCTTCTTAGGACTGTGGGAGGAGACCCAGACAACCTGGAAAGAACATGCAAACTTACACACACACGCATACACAAAAGAGGCAGAATTCAAACCCTCAAGCCCAAAGCTGTGAGACGACTCACAGAGCCCCTCTGATGCCCATTTATAGAATCAAAAATGAGAAAACATCATTCTCCAATGATATATACTGTAGTATATAATTATATATAATTATAAAAATCAGTTCTCCTCATATCACACTGGAATGGTGTGATTGTGCTACACATCATTCAATGCAAATTGGAGCCAAAAACATAATTGCCTAATTGCTGAACTAGTAATAAGACACATCAGTGGTGACACACAATGGGGAATTGAAAAAAGTTCCAGGAATATCATAAGGACGGAAACGTGGTTTATTTATTACAACAATGCCTTCGATGGCATTGTTCGTGTGAAACTACAGCTTGACGCAGAGCCGTTGCTAGACATTAATCTCTATCGTGGTACAGACCCTCCATTACTCAAATCCATTAACACCCCCCCCCCCCAGGTGTGCCTGGAAGATGCTTTCATCAAAGAGTTTGACAGGAAGAAGTGAGCACCATTCAGGAAGTGACATCCATGCAGGACAATTCCATCGTATGTGCTTAAGTATTCCATTCCTGGTACAGCAAGCACATGCTTTAAATATGACCGATTAATAGCACTTTAAAACAGATTTACCGGGGTGAAACCTCCCTCCACCCCGGTCAACAACTTTTACCGTTATCATCGCTGCATCCCCCCCAGTAGACAACTATCATTATGGGGCCTCTGCATGTTAATGTGCCTCTGATTGGCTGTCTTGCTCCCTTGATTTAAATGCCATTGAGAACATTGAGAATGGTCACATTTACCGGAAATGAGATGCCAACACACATCTCTGACCAGCACCCGGCAGGCTGTGGTGGGTACTGTGGCTGAAAATGAGAGATGGACAGATAGATCTGGAAAGGGCAGTAATGCTATTTGTTAATTATGTTACTCTATATTATTTGATAATTATACTTGTTCATTGTTTGATTGTATAGCACACTGAGAAAAAAATAATTTATCTGCGTCATAAATGTGCAAATTTATTTTTGAAAGAACTTATATTTTACCCCCGAAAGAGAAAAATCTCATGTTTTTTTTTTTTTGTATAACGTGTCTGTTCAACAATAAACGCAACCCTGCCTGATAATTATGCACAAACTGTAGAGTGGGGTGTCTTCTGGGACTTGAACTGCTAACCTTCACATTGTTTAATCTATGTCCTTAACCTCAGCATAAAATAAAAAGTCCATACACCCGTCTTCCATAATCACATACCTGACAGGACTACGGTGGGAACACTTTGGATGTGATATCAGGGCATTGAGGACACGCACACACCGTAATACTCAGAGGAAACACACACATACAAGGCGAAGATTCAACGCTACATCCCAGAGGTGCGATGTAACAGTATTAACCAGTAGCACCATGTATCACCATATCATCCCTTATGTAAAATGTAATCTAAAAATTGACATGGAATTCAAATGAAGAAAGATCCTGAAAAAATGAGTTTGAAGGTATTATGCTTCGAGGGGAATGTTATAGACCAAGTATATATATATATATATATATATATATGGTAGGAAAATTAAAAGAAAAAACTCAGTCCCTTAGTATGTTATGTATAGTCAGTATTGGTGTGGTAAATACTACCGCACTATACTCCACTGTGCAGCAGGAGTACTTCCTTCTTTAGTATAGTTGGCCCATGGATCCCCCATTATTAAAGGTATGAAGTCTTCAGGATATCCCATATGGTGTAACTACAGTGTGTGTTCTTTGGTCCTAAAACCCTGCACTAGTTAAAGCTTTAGAAAGATACATGGATTTCTCTTATATTTGGCTTTTATCTTTCTGATTATAGGAAGCACAGGTTAGTGCAAAAGTATTACTGAACAAACTACACACACTGTCCTACTCCATCACACTGGAAATAGTTAAAATATTGATTAAACACACTTTATGTTAAACTTTGTAGGGCACAATTCTTTATCCCTCATTTGAAGGGAGATATATGATATTGTACACGTACAAATAATTCACATACATAGCTGCATTATGATGAGAAAATAAACATTTAATGTGATAGATTAAAAACATATAGGTGACAGCCCAAGCAGAAGGCCAAAGTACTGCTCAGATTTTGGCAACAAAATCCTTGGTTCTCCTGTCAAGGACTGGGATCAGTGATGCTAACTTAAGCCAATCACAGAGCACTGTGTAGGCGTCAGGGTCTGATCAAGCGGGGGCCAGGAGAGCACATCTGACAGGAAGGTTTCCAAACGCTTGTACAGTTTTCTGGACTCCTTCTTCCGCCTTAATCTTCGTAAGCAGTCCAGTGCACCCTTGTCAATGCCAATCTATAAATAACAAGAAGATACATCCACATGAAATGTCTACTGTCATCGCAATCGGGATAAAAAATGGAGGCAAAAAGCATGAAAGGACAACAGCGTCAGACTCAGTATATGTGGTTCGAATCTTAAAAAAATCTTCATTACAACCTAAACGCAGACTGATTGGATAACAGGTAAAGATGCTACTGACCTCCAACAGGTAACAGGTGAACAAGTTGAGCGCGGCCAGAGCTACTAACAAAAGCTTATAGTTCATGTCCGTGACTTCGCTCAGCTTGAACAGCCTTCGCAGGAAGGGCACTGGATACAAGACCAGCCAGCTCATGGCACCAAAGAAGAGCAGCAGGAGAAACACGAACAGCACTGGGCCCAGAGAGACAGAGTGGACACAGTGTCAGCGGAAGAACTTCGCAAACACTACCGCGATAAACCCGGATAATATTTCAAACACAAGAAACACACAGCAATGCGTCCAAAGGAAAAGATCTGCCATTGGGTGTTTCTTACCATTAGCATAGAGAGCTTTCTTATATGGATACCCTTTGGTTAGTACCACAGCCATAATGATGTACTGAAAGCCAGACAGGGCAAACACACTGGTGTCCTCAAAGTTGGGCAGGTTGGCTGCCCCAGTTACAGTCGAGTTGAGTGGAATATACCTGTGACAGATATGGGAGATCGGTTGTGGTATCATACAGGAGGTGCTTAAATTTAAAGTAAATTACAAAGCTTACACATTTGATAATTGTTTCACAATTCCGAAAATGAGACAAACTGCGATACAAATGTTCGCAATCTCAGGTCGTGGTTCCAGGACACAGAACCGCAATACACCCCCCCCAAGCCATTGCCACCGCTGCAGGTTTATTTTGTAAATGCTACACATTACACCTATTTTAGTGTCTTTCAACTGCATATGTCACATGACTATTTTGGTCCAATCATAATCGAGTGTTTATGGCCATAGTATAAGCTAGGTTACTTTCCTTAGCTCAAGATGTATAATAATAAAACCCAGAATTTTTCTTCCCTGTCTTTTCCTTATTTATCCCTCCCCTCAACAAAAAAAAAAGATCTGAAACAAACTATGCATTAGGAGCATCGTTACACCCTTAACATTTACTCATTTATAAAGACTGATGTTATACTGACGCAATCAGGTTACAGCATAATAGCAAGATGGAAGCAGCATCTGCTACACTATGAGTGACGTTCACATAGATCTTACTCCCCTCTTAAGCCCCCTTGCCTCTCACCAGCTTTGAGTCCTGGTGATGAGAAGGGCAGACACCTGAATCAGCACCAGAAGCACAAAGTGCACCAGCAGGCTACACAGAACCGGCACGCTGAGCAGGCTGGCGGGGGGGCGCCGGGGGTAGAGCTCCGCACTGGGCCCCCCCATCCCCATCACAATGGCCAATGATGTGACCAGCACCAGGTCAAAGAACAGGAACTGCAGGTCGCCGAGGTTGGTCTTCACCTGAAAAAGGATGGGACAGATGCTGTGAAGCTCAAGTGTCTAGGACGAGTGAAGCTACTGAGCACAGACACAAGTAGCTAACCCAACACAGGAAGATGGTGGCGCAGGAGGTAGTGCTATCGTTTGGCAACCAGAGGGTTGCAGGTTCGAGCCCTGGTTCCTCCTGACCCCATCAAAGTGTCCTTGAGCAAGACACTGAACCCCAAATTGCTCCCGGTGTGCAGGTTGGCGCCTTGCATGGCAGCCTTTGTCACTGGTGTGTGAATGTGAGTGTGGATGGTGAACGTGAGGCATGAGTTGTAAAGCACTTTGAGTTCTCGTAGGAGTAGAAAAGCGCTATATAAATGTAGTCCATTACACAGACACGCACTCACAGTGTAGAGGATGAGGACAGAGGAGAACTGGATCAGACTATAGATTGCCATGTACTTGAAGAGACTGAAAGACGTCACCAAAGAACATCTTCCTTCCCTGAAAGAGAAAGGCTGTACATGTAATTCAGGAATGAAGACGTAATTAGCTTAGACACTTTGGAATTTTGAACTCTAATGATCAAAAACCATATTCGTCAGGACACAAAGGTGATAATAATAATAATATTGATTTCTTCAACTCCTTGCCTATTCTTACTGTGACATTAATGTTAACACATCAGTAATCCTCAATGAAAACAACCTGCATTATTCTTATTACAAACGCTGGAGATGTTTTTCCTACCTAATGAGCAGCGGCACACAGCTGATGCTGTCAGAGCTGGACGTGAAGGGGGAGGCGATGGACGCCTCTGCCTGGGACAGGGACACCCCCGCGTCGGCCGCCTTCAAGGCCCCGCAGTCATTGGCTCCGTCCCCGCACATTCCCACACAGTAACTGGCAGCAAGAAGGCAATCCCTGCCATTTTTACTAAACATTTATGAAGATGCATCTTTATCCCTTACTAGTTCATTCTTACATTTCTTTTAATAATGACAGTTTATTTGGCCAATTTGCATTTATGAATACAGGTAAATGGGGATTATTTTGTTTTTGCATTCCCCATCTCTCTCTCCCATCTGATACACACATGGACACTATAGGTGTAACAATTTATCGATTAAACTCCACATATCGATTGTTCAGACCACAATACAATTCAATTGATTCAATTAACAAATATCGATTAATATCATTAGACCATGATGATATGCCAAAATGCTGCTGAACAAAAAGAATCTGTGAAAAAATCTCTCAATGCAATCTAGAGACTCTCCTTAGTAGAGATTAATAAATTACAGTACACTTTATGTAGTTCAGTACACCTGTATCCCTATGGTGTCTAAGAGTGAGCTATACATATCCAAAAATAGTTTTTTTGTTGTTAAAGTACAACTACAAGACAGCATGTTTCTTGGGCAGACATTTTTTGTGTTTTTGAGACATATATAGTTTGTTCAACATATGTTAAAATGAAATTTTTTTAAAATTCAAATAAATTCCGCTAAAATGAGCTTATGTTTCATTGTATTGAAAATATTGATCATGTAATACTGAATCGAATCAAACTGTATTGCATTTCAAATACAGTGGAAACTGCTTCTAGTGATCACATCAGATCATGTCAGGTCAGGTCAGGTCAGGTCAGGTTGGGGAGAATGCGCTGCTGTAGCGCGTTGCCGATCCCACCACATGACGAAATGTCTCGAGTTCCCGGCCGGCAACCCCCCCAGGCAGACACACGGTCCAGTCCCACCCTCCGGAAATGGCCATCCATCTGCCGCAGCCAGGTATTACATGTGTGTCCCCTCGGCCTGGTCCAGTCACTCGGGTCCTCAGCAATGAGGATCCTGCGAGCCGGATCACCCTCATGCATTTTCTCCTCCTCCCCTTTCTTTCATTCTTTGTCCTACCTCTCCCTCCCTCTCTCCCTCCTTCAATCACTCACTTGAGTTTCTGCAGCTCAGTGACCAGCCGAGTCTTCTGCTCTGGAGACATACGAGCATAAACCGTGCCTCTCATCAGCACCTGCGTGTACGGGGGCGAGGCCAGCAGAGAAGGGTTAGGGTTAGGGTTGGGGTTAGGGTTGGGCAGTCAGAGGAAATGTTTAAAGCTATTAATCTGGGTAGTGAGTATATATTTACTCAGAAAGCAGCACAATCTAATGTATGCAAATTAACAGTAACAATACAAGCTAACAGGAATTTCTTCTATTCCTCAAAAAGTGACTGATGGCTGGATGGACACCGTTTCAGTTCCCAAACCTCTCCTCAGGGGCACCTCAGCCATTCCATGCATTCGTTACATTTCACCACGAGCTCACTTAATTAATTTACTTAGTTAAATAACTCAGTGAGGTATTGATTAGCCATACAAGGTTTGCTAGTGGTCGAGTCAAAAAATAGATGGGCATATTGGATGGTTGCTGCAAATACTGGGGTGACATTGGGAGAGGTTTTGAAATGGCTAATTATGCTGGCACACTTTGATAGACATCAACAGTTTTATACCAACATGAAGATCATTTAGACATTTTCACTGAATGCTTAAGACTTTTGCACAGTACTATATATAAAGGCGTCACAGATGTTGCTGAATGTTACCTTGGGTAGGTGTTCAGGAAAGTGGTCACAAAGGGCAGAGAAAGACTTGCCATTGATGGCCAGGTGATACCCGGAACTTCCTTGGTAGAGACTCTATGAATGGAAATAGAAGCTTCATGAAGTTGCTTTCAATGGATTGTGCAAGAGAAGCAAATCTGCTCTATCAGTTCAATAGTAAAATATATAATGCAACTGTGAGAAGGTTAGTGGGACATTGGTGCCAATTCCAGGACTGGGGTTTAAAATCCCTCCTCTGCTCTGGGTGTGAGGTGTATATTTCATATGACGTGAATGCATGGTAAATTCTAGGGATGTCATTGTTGAATATTCAAATATTTCAAGAAAGCATATAAAATAAAAAAATCTTAAAATTGAATAATCAATGAGTCATTTTAAAAATGTTTTAGCAGTAATTAGTTGTGATTCATCCGTTCTCTGTTAAGTTTGAAATTTATTCGTTAAGAAATCTCCCTCCACTGTTTAAGCATGAGCTCTGCATATACGCTCTCCAAGCCAATCTATCGTTTTTGCCCTGCCTCACTCATACTGTGGTGCGTTTGTGATCATTTTTTTTAAAACGAGTGAAGTGAACAAGCAAACAAACAATGATCATTTGTCTTTCATTGCATAGAAATTCGCTGGATTCATAGAGAGGATATTGAGGGATTTGTCTGCACTGCTTTGTGTTTTTTGGCACGACTCGCGGGAACAAGTGTAAGGGAATCTGATTATGCTGCTGCCGCTGTTAATTTTCTATGTACATTTAGATTATCATGGTTGTTGTAAAAATGTCCTTGAAATTAATGTTATTTAAAATTTTAAGAACAAAATTTCACAGAAGAGTGTATTGTCAGTTTGCCAGTCAAGACTTTTTGCTGAGTTAACCAGAATGAAGTACTGACTCGCTTTCCCAGTAAATGATTATTTATTTTGCTTTATTTTTGGGAGATTTACAAGTCCTTTTTTAAAATTATAAATATCATAATATTTAATTGCAAATATTTCAAATGTGATTTTTTTTTCTCCTATACCATTAAGCCCTAGTTTCAAGGCTAAACGCTCCAAATTATGTCTCATTTTATAAGGAAATAAATTAATTCATTAGCCTATAATCCAGAGATTATTGTTAGGATTGTTAAAAATAAAGAAATCACCATTTGCTGCAACTGCCAAAGGCACAGGCTATTAAGCGTTAATGTATGCTACTGCACTTGAGCTAATTTGAGAGTTTAAGTTTCAATTTACTTTTTAATGTTTCAGATTATCCTTTTGCAGAAACAAGTAACGTCGTTTTATACGGCAAAAAATAAGTGTTTTGATCTGAACTCCGCACACAGTTCTCTGGATGGGTTGGGGTTAGGGTTAGGGTTAGGGGCTCATCAAATACTATTTGAATAATGACTGGCCAAATTTGACTAGTAATTTCGCCTGAAATGGCCATCCCTAGTAAACTCCGTTTATATGGGTTAGACAAACAACCCATTTCCACTGCTAACACAATGAAAGTTGCCAGCAATAATTATTAGTACATTATTACCATTTTGACTTCTCACTTCTTACCAGTGCTGATACATCTGTAAGGTACAGTTATATGTCTTTAATGCAACAGTGTCTTTGATGGTTATTAATTTACAAGTCAAGCTGAAGCGATCTGCACTGGAGATTTGGTATAATGCAGTTATTAATGTGCTATTACCTGCGCACAGCCTACTTGCAGAGTCCCAGTGCTGTTTTCTCCCATGTGAAATCGTAGCGTTGCCAGTGAACTGGCACCAGGGGGGTTGGCTTGTACAAAAATGACTCTGTCATCTGATGGTACCATGCCACAAGTCCGGGCCACATTCACAGCAGTCAGGATGTTGTCACCTTTGGAGATTCAAGTGTGGCACTATTAGAAAGGGCTTACTGGACTGCACACATGCTGACGTATGTACAGAGATGGAGACAAAGCGTTTGAAACAGAGCATCTGAAAAGCAGCCCCAGTTCTCGCCCACTCTCTCACCTGTGACCATGACAGTTCGGAGCTGGGCGTTCCTCAGAATGGTGATGACACCTGGCGTTTCCGGCTTCACCACGTTCTTCATCACCAGCAGACCCAAGAACTTCATTGAGCTTTCTACAGCTTCCCTGTGGAACAGTGGAACAGTTGTATGTCTCCCTGCTCTACACAATACAATTATACAATGTGTAATAAACACTGAATATTAGGGCTATTTAATTCTAACTGACCTCTCAATGGTCTTCAAGCACAGCTTTTCATCAAGTGGTTTATAAGCCAGAGCCAGCACCCTGAACCCATCATTTGTGAAATGACTCAAAGTGTCAGGAAATGTAGCAGGTACTGCCAAAAAACGAAGGAGATTTAAAAACTTGTCTGCTTTAACCATACGCAAAAAGAATGCATATGCCCAGTTCAGTTTTACACAGATCTCTGACTGTTAGACAGAAATTTCTCTCTTATCTATCTTTCGGGCTAAATTTTCATTTTTACGATTCAGCAGGTAACCTTTGTTCAGAACGACGAGCATCGGCCACCTACTGGACAGCAGAATTGTAAGCACTCACCGCTCTCCTTCAGGCAAAGGCTGGCCACCATTTCAGGAGCTCCTTTGAGGAAAGCGAGGGCACCGTGTCCTCCCAGCCCCACAGTAACCACACTCATCCTCTGTAGGGTGGATGAGAATGGGAATCTCCGCAGGATAGCCACTGGCTCACTGATGGACTGACATAAAGAACAAAATGAGGCATTTGACCAACGCATGTATAACCATACAAAATAAAACTAGATGCTGTCAGAATAACGACATATTCCCCCGAGGGCCCCTTCCCATCTAATTTCTACTCCTCTCACACCCCCCCACCTCTCCAAAAAAATCTTCATTAAAAGCCCATCTTTGTGTGTGTCAATGTAATCTGGTTTACCAGATCTGCATATATGGCTGCCCTTTCATGTGTCACAACAAAAAAAATGTGTAATTTCTCTCAAGGTGAAGAAAGTTCCAAACCTTCTCCTATATAAAGTTAATGTGAAGTTTGAAAAATACCTTTTGAGTTGTGCTAACAAGATCAAGAGTCTGGGGCAGCCTTCCTGATCGCTTCAAAAATGGATTACTTACAGATCTTCACCCATATAAATATGCCTACAAAGTAGGGATGGGCCATCCTATGATTTAAAACGTACTTTTCATGTAAATGGTATAAATCGTGACCTTTTATGTTCTCCATATAAGTTTTCCAAACTTCACATAAAATTTCCATGGCCAGTAATGTGGATCTGTGCTATGTTCACAAACCAACAGAATTAGTTCCTATAAGATGGCTGTGGTAATTGGCCAAATTATATCAAGTGTCTCCATCACAGGGTCTCTTTCATGCATGACATATTTGAAAAAACACAATTCAATGTGAGCTACTGGCACGGCAGATGACAAGCTGGTGTTAAAAAAAGATTCCACATCATAATGTGGTAGTGGGGTTAGGGTTAGCGCAGTCAGATATTTCTCAAAGCAAAGTTACTGATAAACTTTACGGGCAGTGGTCAGCAATTCCAGGGGTATTACGACAAATCTATTCAGTTACCTTAACAGGAAGAATGAGACACAACTTTGTTTAATATTTCAAATAAACTTTAACTCTGTTTTTGAAATTGGCATTAAATCTGTGTCTTTAATGCAATATTGTGTTTTAAATGGTGCTAATAGAGCAGTCCTTTGGCCTGTTTGTGTCTGAATATTCTTGACCGTACACTTCAAAATTGGGAAGAAAGATCGCAATTCAGATAATGGATCGTGATCGTGCGTTTGATTTTTTTTGGGAAGATTGCCCACCCCTACTGCAAAATCTGGAAAAGATCTGTCAAACACTGTCAAATACTTTTTGAGTTATTGCTAACGAGTGTCTAAGGTAACAGTGGTGGTGGACCAGTCACAAAACTATGTGTTTTCCTGTCCAGGAAATACAAAAATTCAGAGACAATAAATGCTGCCACTTTTTCCACTGGTAAACTAATCCTCAAGAAGAAAATTCCTCCTCATAGGTCACACATGATATTAGCATTGCTCAACCTTCCCTTCATGTCTAAGGGCATACCCACAGTAAGCCCAGTTGCCTTGTACCATGCCCGAGCTGACTGACTAACTGGCCCTCCTCCTCACTCCCCTGTCAGTCTGTGCTCACATTGCACTTAATGCTTGGGACATGAGCACACTTTCATCATCACAGTGTGAATTTTTGTGTTGATCATTGACGTCATGTCTGTGTTCCATACCCGAGCACAGTTAGCGATTACATTAGATGCGTACTGTGCTTGAGGCCAACTGTACCCTGCTCTGGCCCACCTCTTCAAGCAGACACGGGCATGGTTATGCATATAGTGCCCAGGCTTGGTACAGATCCACTGGACTTCGAAGGTCAAACGTGCTTGGGCACGGTATAGATCGCCTAGTGTGAATACATCCTAACTTTCCTTGAAGAAGGGCCAAACTCCCAGCCACCCCTTTGGAGATTACCCACAATGCCATGAGGCTGCAGCTCGGATGCCGGTGGTCTCATCACTGCCAGGACACGAAAGCTCCCAAACTCCCCCACAATCTCGGCGGTTTCTCCATCCTCCACGGGCTCCTCCAGTTCCTGAAGACACCAAAATAACCGTTAGGCACATGCTAGAAGTCCAGGGAAGACAATGCACATGGTGCATATGTGACTGAAGAGTGTGGTCCACACAGCAGGCACCATTTGCTATTACAAGGACCTCTCACACAGATCCCCTTCACCTTATGCCATGTTTATTATTTTCCAACACTAAATATCATTGAAACAAACCTAAATACAGTCACCTACACTCACCGAGTACTTCATTTGGATTAACTGTACACCTGCTTATTTATACAATTATCTAATCAGATAATCATGCGGAGGAGCGCAATGCATAAAACCATGCAGATATAGGTCAGGAGCTTCACTTAATGTTCACATCGAACTCCAGAATGAGTAAAAAAAAATGTGATCTCAGGCAACAGTTGTTGTTGCCACACAAGCTGGTTTGAGTATTTCTGTAACTGCTGATCTCCTGGGATTTTCACGCACGACAGTCTCTTGGATTCCAGCGAGTGGCTCAGTGGGCTAAGTCTGTGTGCCTGTAATCAGAAGGTCACCAGTTCAAACCCAGCCTCAGCATGTCTGCGGGTCCTTGAGCAAGGCCCTTAACCCCCAGCTCCCTGGGTGCCCCAACAGGTGGCTGCCCTTCGCACACAACTTACTCTACAAAAAAAAGCAAGTTGAGGGAGGCGTAAAGACAGTTTCCCCACAGGTATCAATAAAGTATCGATTATTATTATTATTCAGAATGGTGCACAATGATGAGAGCAGCAGTTCTGCAAATGGAAATGTCTTGTTGGTGAGAGAGGCCAGAGGAGAATGGCCAGATTGTCTTGAGGTGATAAAACGTTACGGTAACTCAGATTATGAACTTTGGTGAGCAGAAAGCATCTCAGAATGCATATCACATGGAACCTTGATGTGTATGGGCTACAACAGCAGAAGACCATGTCAGGTTCCACTCCTGTCAGCCAAAAACAGAAAGCTGATGCAACAGTGGGCACAGGCTCACGAAACTGGACAGTTTAAGACTGGAAAAATATAGACTGGTTTAACGTGTCTTGATTTCTGCTGAGGCATGGAGATGTTAGATCAGAATTTGGCATTAACACACACACGTCTTGTGTCATTGTGGTATAATGGTATTCCGCTTCTACCAAGATTCCATGAAGTTCCTGCTCAGATATGGGTTATCTTGGCACACTTTGAGCCCATTGATACCACTCGATCATTCCGTGAATGCCACAGCCTATCAAAGCGCATCCCCCCAAAGTTTTCCCACCATGAAGATCAATTGTTGCTGTTTGTTCATAGTGAGTCAGTAAGCAGTCCTGGGGGGGGTAATTCCACGAAGCAGGACTAAGGGAAAGTCTGACTTATTTCGACAAGTCTGGCTCATTTATTTGGGAGTTCCGTTCCATCAACGTGTCTTAAATGAATCTGCGCTGAGCTACCATGGTAACTCAGACGAGTGAACAAGTCTGCTCCGGACCAGGGTAACAGTCTTGCTTAGATAAAGCACGTCTCAAAGAACGTCCGACGTGTGGGAAAAGATTCCCAAAAGATCGTTCTGCTGGACAAAATTCCGCGCTCTCACTACTCATGTCATGTAATAAATATAATCAAGCGTATAAAAATCACGTCGCAGCATTCCAATTAATTCCAAAATAATTAAAATAAAAGCGTACCCATATTACAAAGGTCAAACAGGAAATGCAATGACAAACTGAAAAAAAAAATCCGTTAAAATAATATGAACAGGAAGACATTTTTAGATTTTGTTTAGTCACTGCCTACTTTGAAAGTTTATTTGTAAAAAGCAAAGACAAGATACGGTTATTTGTGCAGAACATTTCACATGGATGCGATTGAAAGTATTTTACGGAGATTAAATAATACAGAATAATATTATACCGAAAGAATGAGACGTGAACGTAACCCAGAAGGTTATCCCATTGGTTATGGAGATCGAACCAACTTTCACAGTGTAAGACGAGAGCATAACCCCCTGTACCACCGTGCCACTGTACCAGGCACTAGTAACATTTACGTAACTTACACATTTAGTCTGTCTGCAACTCTTTGCCAAGCCAACTCCCAGGATGTATTTATGGCCACAGTATTGCCTTTTTTAACGATTACACCTTCATATTTTTCATATAGCTCCATCAGCAGTGTTTGTTCTGCAGTGGGAAAAAAACACCGCTCTCGTTTTACACACTTTTCGACTCATTTGATCGGTCTATCGTTCCATTCATTTGGGCTTCTTAAATATCTCGGGTGTGCGCACTAAGTCAGACTATGCAAGTCTGTCTTGTATGAGCCTTGATTAGTTAAAGCTGAACTGCGTTAGTGGAACGGCATGAGGCTAAGTTTAGAGATGGCGTTAGTTTCAATCTGACTTTTTCGGGAATGTCTGGCTTTCTTTAGCTACTTCCGTGGAATAGCCCCCTGGTCTGTAACATGAAACATTGCGATGGCCTAAGTGTATCACACAGCCAAGGACATAACAGCCACCACTGGCACTCACCCATCCTGTGGACTCGATCATCTTGAGCTCCAGGGGGTCTCCGAATGACTGGGGCCCCAGCAGTGCCACGGAGTGGCAGGACGCCATGGCCAAGAGCATGGGACCCTGTGGCAGCATGCGGGGGTCTGGCACGAGCTCTGCAAAGCCTTCCCTACCACCCTCCAGGACACCCCACACGTCAAGACCGTCCTCCGTCAGCGTGCCTGTCTGCGGGCAGGGAAGGCGTTGAGGGTAAAGCGCAGGAACAAAAGGCTACGATGTCTGTGTTATCTACTGCCCCGGAAAAGCAGCTTCTGAGTAAGTCGGACGCCACGCCTCCCTGTGGCCTACTGGCCGACTGCCTGCTCACCTTATCAAAGCAGCAGAGCGATATCTTGCCACAGATATTGATACGGGGTGGACTGATGCAGAACACGCCGTGACGCTTGAGGCGTTGCTGTGCGTAGATGGTGCCTGTCGTCATGGCAGCAGGCAGAGCGGGTGGCACCACGATGGTGACGATGTCCAGGGCCCGGACCACCAGCTCCACCCAGGGAGTCTGGAGCCAGAGGTCCAGATAGGTATGAATTAGCGTGTTAAGATGCAGCTGAACACATCTTACTGCTGTAAGTTAATGCTTAAAGGAATGTAGTGCGGTTTCAAGTCTTCTGCAAGTTTTAGGGAGCTACTGGTCAATTAACACCTGTTTGAAATAGTTCACAACTGACAGATCAGATAAAATAAATAAATAAAATTACTATTATTATTATTATTCGGTAGTAATAAAAGTAGCTACATATGGTACTGTACCATACCTCAAGCTGACGAATCGCTGAAGCCGCATGATGTTTTCATAAGCGTCACAAGTGCGTGTGTTCATTATTTATATAACCATGAATACAACAGGCTTTATGGCAGTCCCTTTGTAAGTATGAGTCTGTCCGTAAATTTGACGTTCTTAACCTGGGGACTGCCTATAAAATAAAAACTGTACCCCTAGCACTACTGAGGGCAACATTTTGGATCTCAGTGCAGAAAACACCATTACCATAGCTAACATAGTGCTTCAGGCTCAGGAAGGTATCTCACAGCCACAACCTTCAGCAGGAAATGTAATCTCATGTATTTAAATTACAGAATCTACCAAGAAAATGGTACGTGTTTGCATCCCACCCTTGGTTCCGTAGGCATGAAGTCTGCATGTTCCCCCCATGTGGCTCAGGGTATCTCCAGTTATTAGCCACAGGGCTATCAGCAGGCCTTACTTAACAATATGTTAAGTGTAAAAATCAGTAGTGTTAGGCTCACCATGCTCATGCGTAGGATCACGATGCTGTAGATTGTGCCTATCAGAGCTGTGACATAAAAGAAGGGGTATTGATGGACAAACAAGCTCTACAGTGGTGTCACAAATAAAAACTATTAGCATTAGAAACTAAATAGCAGGAGTAATTAATTAATTTGCAAGACCTAGAGTAGTATACAAACAGATGGCACTGCGTAGATGGATGGCTACACTCAATGAGAACAGAAATTTACCCAGTGCGCCAAGGATGAGCAGGAACTTCATGGAATCTTGGTAGAAGCGGAAGTTTATTGGCTGAGGGAAAAGTATGGAGCTGATCAGGTCACCCTTAGCTGTGAAAAACCCTAAAAGGCAAAAGCGATAAATCACACACCCACATAAGCTGTAATGGGAAAGAGCTTTGAAAATCTGTCACCCTCACTAAAGCTGTGATTCAGAGCTGATTTGATATCCTATCAGCTATGTTCCGCTAAGCGTATGCGGTAAAGTTTAACAGGTCAGTCTGCATTTTTTCATCTGTTCTCACATGCCTGGAACCTGCGACACTCAGCAAAACCTCACTTCAGTGCTGACTAACAGGTGCTCTCACATATTGAATCATGCCTTTCTGATATGCCAGCATGGCTCAACCAGTCCTCCACGCAGCGGACTACAGAAACGTTAAAATGTTAACATTAATGTTACATCGACGCATCCATTCAGCTTCTTCGACTAACCATGGAAGGAATGGCAATGCAAAACTAGACATTTCAACATGCATACAAACGTGTATGATCACCCACATATAAACATACAATTGTTCACCTCAAAAGTATGTTTATGGTAGAAAGTTCATGTTAGCAATCAAAACATATCAACTGTTAGCGAAGTCACAAGACTGGACTTTGACAGCAACACCACCAAAACACTACTGAAACTCTCCTGCTTGGAGCTACAACCTCAGAGGTAGCAACTACACCTGCTAGCTGTCGGTCTCATTTTTAACCTCAATTTCATGAGAAAAACATAACAGTTACCGTAATTTTAACTTTTATGGTAAAAGCAATAAGAGGCTCTAGCCAAACACAAGTTGAAGACATTTACTAAACATCATCTGTCATTCCATACAGAAGATACTGGTATCACTTTACAATGAGGCTACCTTTGCCATTTGTAAATGGTAGTAACTCATTAATAAAATGAAAACTGTCTTATAACTTGTTTAAAATTGTCTATTAATAATTTACAATGTGTTACAACCTAATTAATAACCAGATTATAAACCATTCATAAACCCTTTATATGGGTAGACTTATTGTAAAGTGGCACCAAGATACTAAATTTTAAAAATCAACAAGAGGCCAGGTTAACAAGAGGCCAAGTTAACTTTCACAAACAGAATTCCTGGGTATGCATAAAACCTGTCTGTACAGTAGATATGCCACCATCTTACCTGTGCGTGTGACCACAGCAAGACCTCCTCTCCCCCCCTGGCGGCCCCCCCTGGCCTGGATAACTTGTGTACCACAGAACAGGGTATGTCTGCGCTGAGATTCAGGACTGTATGTGCCTGCACTGAACGGAAGGGGAGTTTTCATCACAGGCACGCTTTCACCTGAAAGAATGGAGGGAGACAGCAGGGCCTGCTATATTTATCAACATAAGGGGTCATAATATGCTTTTCTGGTCTTTCCCTTTCCTTTAGTGTGTTATACTGGTATTGTGCAAGTAAATGGTCTGCAAAGTCATAAGAACCAAACTACATGCCAAACATAGTAACTCTTACCACAGAAACCCCTCTTCTCTAATCGGCCTAAAACACCTTGTTGGAATTCCAACCCTTACTTCCGTGACATGGTGAGGTCATCTTGTAACACAACCCTTATTGGCCGCCTACCTGCAAGGATCTGTCTGCAGACTGCAAGACAGGGGCGGAATGTGTAGGGCAAGCTGACCAATCGGGAAAGCTGACCAATCAGAGCACACTGGGCTCATCAGGGGTGGGGCTTTAACATAGCATTTCAGACAGAGGTTGAATAGAGATGAACAGCATAAGAAAAATAATGTTTCTGGAACATCAAAGCATGTAAACCTACTCTAGTAGACCCCAATAATAAAATCACAAACACTTAAAATGAGGATTATAGGGCCCCTTTAAGATGAGACTGGAGCAGGAAGGTTAAATATCTGTATAATAATTACTGCCTAATATATAAAACTATTAGATTTTTAAATTTTTTAACAAAAAAAATCTTTAATGTTAAAACAAAAGAATAAGAAAAATTAAATCTCAAAATGCACAGCAAAATATGACAAAAAAAGCTTATTAATTATAGACAATCTGTGCCTCACCAGTGAGCATGCTCTCATTGATCATGCACTCCCCAACCAGCAGGGCGGCGTCACAGGGCATGAGCAGGCCCTCTGGAGGTATCAGCACACAGTCCCCAGGCACCAGGTCCACAGAGCTCACGCTCTCCTCCTCTGCCGGTAAAAGGGAGACAGATGAGCGAGTTTGAGCTCCATGCAGGATCAGGATTGGGGGTAATGACACGTAGGGGAGGGATCAGGATGGGGTAATGACACGTAGGGGAGGGA